CACACGTTCGAAACGATGTGCTGAATTTCTAATATACAGCTGACGGAGTAAACACAGAAAAGAACTATATTCTAGAAGCACGTAGAAGCAGATATGGAGTGATTTCATGTCATGTGACTGGTACTCAAGTAAAACTTTGAAGCTTCTCCAAAATCAACGTAAGATAGACTGAATAACTCCAAAGCGGTAACTCAGGCTAATGTAATCGGATTACTTGAATAATAAGGTTCAACTTAGGAAAAACCACAGAAGCTATAACAAGAAAGATGGCGAACTTGCCAACGATACCAGCAGACTTGTCCTACGATCAGTTCTGCAGACAATATCTCGACAATGAGTCATACATTCCGCTGATGTATCAAAAAGCTGGATACAAGGTGAAAATTAAATTGTAATCTTTGATGAACATCAGAAAAACGCGCTTCGAAAATATTGTTTCCGATGTTTGGTGCTGAAGACTACGTAACCAGTGTGCTAAATTACCCCAACTGCCTTGGAACTAAAGCCAGACAGTTTCTTCATTCATTCAGGTGCGCGGCATTTTTTCTGTTTGATAAGACAGTCAATATTTAGAGTAACAGGCAGCATCAAATCTCCCAATAATTTAGTAATCATTTTTTCTGTCTACTGGTTCACCATAGATGAGCACTCGAATTGCATGCATTTAGCAAAAGAAAACTGGCAGCAATCGTGATCTCACAGGCATCACCATGAATATTTTCTGATTTCCAGGCTTCCAGTTTCTTCCTTAAAGCGGTCATTACATTAGTCTCATTCTTCTAATACATATAACTGTTTACTTATTCACTACAAGAGTGCTTCATGTGATAAAACCCAATAAAAAGTAGTATGACCGAACATCAGGCACCAATATATAAAGAAACCGCACTTCTGATAGTGATTTGCGAGAACGGAAAATTTAGGGACAAACCCTGAAGGAGAGGAAGATGAACGAAAAGGAAGGAGATGATAAGGTGCGAGCAATCGTTCATATGTTCGCCTCCTAGGTGTCCGTAAAGTACTTTTGATACCGATTGGGATGTATAGTGTTCTTTTTGCTAAGAGCAGATGAAGCGATTGAACACGGGTTTTGATGAAATGCGATCGTAATTTGAGCAGAGATCTGGTGAGCAATTTGATCTAATGTTATTCACGATAAGGTCGGAGTTCGGAGAAGGGGAGTTACAGCTCTTAGGAAGGCAGGCGGGCTCCCTAACCATAACTGTGCGGGTTTTGCAGCGGAGAATCTGCCTCGAAGGCTTAGCAGGACCGTACTCCCTCGAGAATCCGCATGCCCGCCGATAGGGGTAGCACTGATGAGGCTTGCCCCTACGCGTAAATCAACGGGCCACGAAAGGGAGCCACTTCTCGGGTTCTCTGCTGTTTTTCATGGCTTTTCTTCATTCCGGCGTAACTGAGTACCTCTACCCTTATCGAAAGGTCTGCCTTTTGATCGCAATTTCCGCCTTCGAGCAGTCCACTTTTTTATAACAGATGCTCTTGTAGTACAAAAAAAAACTGGGATTCGCCCAATCTGCCTGCTGTCTGTAATCTATAAACTATTCACTCGAGTCATCCTCAACAGGATCGGCAGAATACTAGATGAAGGACAGCCATGCGAGCAAGCAGGGTTCCGAAGAGGGTTCAGCACGATCGATCCACGGTTACAAGTTTCACGAGAGTACAAGATGCCGCTTTGTCTCACGTTCATCGACTTGAAGAAGGCCTTCGACTCTGTGGAGACAGAAGCGGTCATCGAAGCCTTGGGCAACCAGGGCGTCCCTACTCAGTACATCAAGATTCTTCGTGAGCTCTACAGCAACTTTACGACCAGAATCTCACCATTCTACAAGGAGGTCATCATCGACGTCAAGAGAGGGGTTCGACAGGGCGACACCATCTCGCCCAAACTCTTCAGCGCCGCTCTCGAGAACGTCATGCGTCAACTGGAATGGGAAGACATGGGAGTGAAGGTCGACGGCCGGCAACTACACCACCTTCGTTTTGCTGACGACATCGTTCTTATAACGCCGAACATCGAGCAAGCGGAGCGAATGCTGGCTGATTTCGACTGCGCCTGTGGTAAGGTTGGTCTACAGCTGAACCTAACGAAGACGATGTTTATGAGAAACGGATTGGTTCCTGATGCCCCATTCACGCTCAACGGAACGAACATCACCGAATGCTCCAGCTACGTGTACCTAGGTCGGGAAATCAATATGATGAACGATCTAGCTCCAGAGCTGAGCAGGAGGAAACGAGCGGCATAAGCACAAGAGCATGGGGAGCGTACAAGAATGAGGGAGTAGCAAAGAAGACAAAGACTATCCGGTTCCGT